TCATTTATAAATAAAGTGGTTTTTAATAGTATATCATATTGATACAAAACGTATAAAAATGAACATCGATCAATTACGAAATTAAAGCTAACTTAAAGTTAGATTTTTTTTAAGTTTTTTTTAAATGTTTACCCTTACTTGTAAATAAATTTATTCCTCCAATAAACCTAGCAAATAAATGTCAACTAAATAGGAAGACGTTTTTCCCAGCCCTCACTCAACATCGAGCACGAATGCTTGGAAATTACGAAGAATATCAAAATGATGTTTCTGAAAATTTAATAATCGCATTTCTAACCGTTTATTTGACTCGAGTATCGTTTATGTCTTCATCCTTACTATACACAGAATTAGCCGGTCTAAAAATTGTTGACTCGATATTATTGAAACTTTACCAAGCATGTTTTTTTTTACTGCATTCACTGATTAAATTTAATATTTAAATTACTCATATTTGGTTTGATTACATTGCATATTATTTACCCGGTGGGCCATTTTTCAAAATTATTTACCGTAGTTAATGTCATGAGGCGGCGCAAAATATATGCAATTTGTTGTCACGGTAAGGTGGCGAATACGAACGAGACTACTCAGACTCAAACTCAGACAACTAGTCGCACGTTTTTCGCCCTTTGTTTGTGAGCTATCGTACGAAACACAATATACCTTACAAGAATATTCAGACAACTGTTTTTGAATTTAATAAAACAACACAATATTCATTATTTATTAGACGCAAAAATAAAATGAATTTTAGGTAGTGCAAAATATCACGATTTATAATAGAAGTACAATTGCATTGTCAGTTGTAACTTACTTTCCCCGATGTTTTACGAAACGTATTTTAATATATTGTGATGATAATAATAATATGCGATTTCACATCTGGCGAGTACCTAAGTTTTTTCTACGCTATTGTTTAAGGATATATTTACTAGAATAATTTCAAAGTACACTGAGTATTGTACAATTTTAAAATGAAATAATGGGAGGGACAATCTTGTAAGTTGTAATAAAGCTCTTTTATGTCTTAAAATAATTATACAAAAATCATCTTCCACGTCAACACAGTGACTACCTAAGCAGGAGTCTCACATTCTTAAAGGACATTTTGGACAGTTATTTTTGGTTTCAAAGAACGTTCCTGGCCATAACGCAATTCTATACAGTAAAATATTCCATTTACAGAACCAATGCGTACTCAGAGAGTCTGATTATTATAATATAGCTTGGGGTTACAAAAATCTATTATTTCTTATCTGACTTAGTGTTTTTTTTTTTTTTTATTAAATACTTCATATTTTATTTATCTTTATCAAGAGCGACCGTAGTGGTGGGGAGAGGTAAGTAGTGGCAGTGCCCCTCCCTTGGATTTTTCTTGGGTCAATTATTTTAATCATCATGTGATATAAAATATCACAAATTTGGTTTCTTCAATTTTTTATTTTAAAAATTATTATTTTATATCAGCTGTCACCAGATATAATAATTAATATTCAATTACTGGAACCGACTGGTATTAGCTGATTCATAAAAATAAGCTCACATTTTTTATCATTATTTTTGGTTGTTTTCTAGTTTTTTTTGTAACTGGTGATTAGTATTGTAAATAGTTTGTTTTGAAAATTATACTTGTAGGCAACACTCTAGAGATTGATAATTATATTTAATGTGTTTAAAATAAATTAAAAACTTTAAGTTTTCAAAATATTAAAATAATTTGGTGGTTTTTACTTTAACATCTAAGTATTATATTTATTTTATGGAAGTTTTTCAAGAACTTTTCATTTTATAAATAACCTAAAATTATCAAATCAATTTTAACTATCTACATAATATGTGATAAATAATAATTACATTCCGTTTCTATATAGGCTATATGGAAGAAAATATGTGACAAATAATACTTTATCTTTAGTCTGAAAATGAAATTAAAATTTAAAAATGAAAATATTTTGGCCGTCCCTTGACGAATTTCTTGATTTTTATCGCATTGGATATATTCACATACAGGGTTATTCACCAAACATGTTCGCCTTCATTTTTTCCCTAAATTACAAATTTTTTTTAATTTCTGATTATTGGAATTTTTAAATATAAGTAAGTTATACATTTGTATACTGTCTTAATGTGAGACATTGAGAACTAAGATTTTTTGTTTAAAATTGTTAAGCAAATTATTTTATAGAAATCGTTTATGTATCATCCTAAATCAAAATTCGAATGAATAGTTTTTGAGTTATTAAAATCTATTTGTATACTAATGGTTATCCCTAAAAAATGGTTCTATAAAAATTTTAATGTTCTTATATTTAATCTAGTAGATAATTATTATACGTGGATAACTAATAAATGAATTATTATGTTCATTGATTAACAATAATTAGTTATCACTTATATATAACTATACATTCAAAATCATAAAATCCGATATAATATATCTTCCAAACCTTTATCGTAAACTATTATTCTGAATACATTTTAATTGAAAAACTTTTAAAAAATAAATAAATACGAATAAATGTATTATTAAAAGAAATATGAAGTTGAGCATGCTTGATGAATCCGTCTGTATTTTTATTATAATATAATAACATAGGTTATAATTTATAGAATATATTATCATTATTTACAAGTGTGCGATTTAGAATTATAAAATGTATTCTATTATTGTATAAGGTATAATACACTATAAACCAAGGGTTTCGTTAAATTAATTACATGAATTAAATTTCTTAACAATTCACTCAACGAACGTGATTTGTGTACTGTTACATGTAGTTATTACATTTTGAATTCTAAAAACATTGCCTTAAAATTTCGACAGTTCTACCACCCTCGGTGAATCAAACACCAACATTTTACATTATGTATAGCTCTATGTTTCACTATCAAACGGTATGATTGGGTATGATAAAGTATAATTCATTTTAAAGCTGATACTATAGCTACTCGACTTTGACTATATGTCTTCCTGAGTGTGAGGACATAACATCTATCGTCTGTGGCTCCACAATGTCGTGCAAATTCCCTCAACGGCCAAATGTTAACTTTCTGAAATAATTACCATTTTACTTTTTAAGATACCATTCAGGACACAATTGATCGACTTCGATGATAATTTCGGTGATGCTACTCCTATGTAAAATGTAAACATTATCACATAATATTTTGTTTCACAAAACAATTTAGCGAAATATACTGGGCAATAGTAGAATTAAACTTGGTCACAAAATCTTGTAAACATTTCAAATCAAACAAATCACTTCACAAAACCCAAAAGGTACTGAGTGACGTCACTCCAGCGCCTGGAATTAAAGATTGCAATTCTGAACCTCCTTGTAAGTAACAAGAAAATGTATCGTGGTTACATTTTGTTACAGAATGGTTACAAAATATCGTTTGATACAATAAAAAAAATATTTATATTTATTTTTTTATAACAAAAATTCAGATCTGGGGGCGTAATATTGTAATGTGTAATCTAAATCAGACGGATACAAACGAAAAACTACAATTATAATAACCAGGGTTAGGAAATTCTAGAATTTGTTTATTAATTTTTTGTTTAGTTTTAAAAAGAGTTTTAGTTTTCCAAAGCATAAAATACAAATTTGTTTCATACTTTTCTGATTAAAACTAATAACATAATATAGGCTGCTGAAAATCAAAAGTAAGCTGTCAAACAATAATATCCATTATTTCACATAATAATATTATACTATATTATTATAAAAATGTAAAATAAAACTAAAATAAAGAATAATTATTATGAAAAGAATAATTTCAACAATGGAACGACGGGTATTCGCAGCGTGCAGTGAACTCATGAACGCAAGAGTGATATTTTACAGAATATTTCAATCCAAAAGTAAAACTTTTGTGTTAAGATATTTGGTCAGTATTATAAAAAAGAAATCACTATTATACGGAGAAATATCGGAGCTGATGTACGTTTTGAACACTCTTAATAAATTGATAACATTATACAAATACATTTCAAGATTTTAATTATTTTTTATAAATGACTACAAACTTATGAAAAATATTATTTTTCACAAGTTAAGTAAACCTATCATGATAAAATTATCATGTTAAAAAATACAATTGTTCATGCATGCTTTCAATTTTTTTTTTTAGTACTTTCAGTCATGGGCGTTAACTTACACACGATAGGTATATTCGTGATTGGATGTTATGTATTCGGTGAAATTTTTTTTTAGTTTTACACGATTATATAGATAATAGATGAATTAGTTTAACAGTCAGGATGAAAGTAACAGAATCATAATTAATATTTCGAACATTTTTAAATGTCAAAATCATACAAATAGAAAATAGAGGTATATAAAAATTATAATTGTCAAATGCATCAACATAATTAATTTTTACCTTGATAGATAATGATAAATAAAAGCTGTTAATACTATTGCTTAGGTATCGTATATTATCTTTAAATCAGTATCACCCTAAAATAAGACATTAAACACGGATTGTAGTTTTAATAGTTTTAAAATTTTACACAACCTAACAAATTTATTTGATTTTCATAAACAGTTGAGTGTAATACAAGGATATTAATTTTAATTTCACATTGTCACCGATAAATTTGTAATTCTATACACTTCCTAGATATTTTATAAAAATCCCGGAAATGTATCATACACCCAGATTTTCCACTTTACCCGTAACATCTATAATAAGGTTTACTATCTAAATGGGATAGAAGTCTTAAACATAATGAATGGAAGTATTAGCACTGCCAAACTAATATCATCCATTGATTCATTGGGTATAGATAGTTAAATGTATAATATTTATTAATTTCACTTAGATTAGAATAAAAAAAAATGGTGCTTAGTCTATAAATTAATAATTACCCATGACATAGACATTCTAGGACTAGGCAAACATAATGATAATAATTATTATTAAAATTATATATTATATTCTAATTCAATGTTCCATAAAAAAATTAAAATTTTTTTTTTTAATTTCAATTAAAGAACAATATTATAAAATAATAATGCTGGAATCGTATACAGTGTGGGGTGTGGTTTAATCGATTCCCCAGCACTCTTCTTCTTCTTCTTCTTTGGCTTATTTGATTCTTCGGTCATAAAGTCCGGTTTTTCCGTTGTAGACTCTGGGTTCCCCATAACCATTTCTATAACTTCATCTATCCATCTTCTATAATAGTGGATGAACAAGTGAACAACCTGTACATTTTTACTGCCACACATTGTCTCACTATCCCCATAAAAATTAATTGCAAAACTACATATTCCATATAGCAAGCCGTCGCAAATCATCGGACCACCGTTGTCTCCTAGACAAGTCGCATTGTCACCTGGTATCGTACACAAATATTGATCCCATGTGTTTCTTATAATTTCACTATTCAACACGCAAATCATATAAATCTTGACTGAAATATTTGTGCCTATTACCTGTTGAATCCTCGACATGCTGTTCTACCGTGTTTGACCTTAACACGACTCTGGAATCCTTCAACGCCCACAGTTTTTTCATCAATCAAGCCAAACCCAATAATTATGCAATCGAGGATGTTTTCATTGAAGAAATCATCAGGAGTGCCACCTATATTTATGTATTTCTTTATTTTCGGAAACGGTCTATTTATCTAAATTTAGATATAATAAACATAACAATTATAAAAGGTACGCATACCTACATAAAAAATATTTTTTTTTTAAAAATACAACAGTTATTTTATATACGTATTTTAATAGAAATCGGAAAAAAAAACTCCGGGAAAAAAGTTCAGTGAAAAATGTACTGAAATAATTTTTCTTGTACAGTTTTACAGTTGTACTATTTAATGTGTAATATATAAAATGGTTCCACATGTATATTAGTTACTCACCATAATATATATTTTAACTCGTATAGTCATGATATAGGTACCTAACGAAACTTATTAGTTGTTGCCAATCTGTGGATTACATCATATGAGTGTGAGTTTGTTTTCGAATTTTATATTTGTTCGTAGAAAAAAAGCAAGTGTGCATTTAAAAATGGAATTAATTTATTCTAAGAAAAATTACCCTCAGGTTGAGTATATGGGATTTTTTTCGACAAAGAATGCTCTAATTTTATTCGTTGAAGTAAATTTCTTATTATTTTTTTTGAAAAAAAGCTCTACGAAGTGTCCATGTTTTTTAAACACTAATTTATATATAACTTCCCAACTTTTATTTCTGTGCATAATGATCATGTGCATCAAGGAAATAAAAATCTTAATTCTACGATAAAAAAAAAAAATTCAGCTCAGCTCAGCATAGCATAAGAAACCGTTGTGATTACGATATTATATTTTAAATTGCATTATTATAATATTTATATAGGTACTATTGTATTTATTATTTTAGATATTTTTAATTAATTGACTTTTTCCTAGTGTGGAACATTTTTTGCTGGGACTTTTTTTCCACGATTCTCAATAAATATATTATAGAGGCGATCCTCCCCCCTCCTTACCCCCACTGAAATTTACCTGAAGACAACCCTTGATTCCCAAACTTATTTTTCTTATGTCATATTATTAGCTACTAAAAGTTGCGGAACACTTGAAAAGTATGACGTAAGTACTTCTCAATTACAAGAAGATATTTTGAGGTCCGGTAGAAACAAACACCGTAAACCACATCATACATAAATATATTAAATTATATTCATGTATTTTATCTATGTTACTATTTCTTTTCTAAAAAAGTTATCTATTGATCTTAAATCTTGGATATTTAGTGCTTACTTGCAATACACTAACATCTCCACTTATAAATTTATTATTATGTTCAGGGTTATAGTCTTCGTGTATGAACTTGTAAATTACATTTCTTGATATTTTATTTTGTACCCATGTACCTTGATATACCTGTATTAAACATTTAAGTATTAGAACGTACTAAAAAATAATTTGTTTCGTGGATTATATAATATTGTGTGGTTATTACATAAAAATAATATATTAGGTATTTACTTTGATAAAGTATTTGTCTATATCGTAAACACAGTGAGCAGAAGTCAATACCAACCATTTGTTTACCAGCGTACCTGTACATGTCTCCTTAGAATTACGAGGAAACGCTATTGTAATGGTAACTATGAACGGATATTCATTTACATTATACCTTTCACCGTGGTATATAAGTCCTTCGGGAGTGTGATTGGTTACGTTATGTTCAAATGTCAACACTTTAATCGTCAGTAATGAAATTATTAGTGCAATACGCATCGTGTCTCATAATTGACAATACATTGTTCAACACTATGTTACCTATATAAAAATGGTTCATATTTTTGTCTTTACAAGTGTTTTATAATTTACATGGCAACTAAAAAATAATAATAATAATAAAAGAAATACAGTTATGAGTATTGAAATATAACAATCATTACAGAGAAAATGGTGTTGGCAAAATCTATTATTGACAGAAAACGATTTTAGTATCATAACAACACAATTCTTACGAAAACGTTTATAAAACTTTATACTTTATATTTAATTAATATTCGATAATGATCTAAAATAGCTTATTAGCATAATAGCATATATGATATACCCTAAATAACGGGTTCCCCGAACAATGGTATCCCCCAGTAAATGAAGGGAGTATGTGATTTTCACTCAAACTGGGCACCACTCTATCAACATAAATAAAATAAGGTTACATTAATTTTATCCCTTGTCACATGATTATAAATTTTCATTTTAGGTTTAAGTTTTTCTGCGGCAGATAATAATGTATTACGGTTATTTTTTCCCATTATTAAACGCGTTTTCGTGGAGGTACCGAGATCAACGGTTAACTAAAAGTCGTTAAGGCGATAATTTTATGTCAAACATCTTAACTACCTTTTTAAGTACATCTCTACGTTTAAGCTATTTGGCATCTTAATAAAGTTAACAAAATAATGAATTATTGACTGGTTGATAATGGTTCATAGAATGATCTACAGTTTTAACAAATTTTAATTTATAATTTAGGTATGACTTATTACCTAACTATTATTAAAATTACAAGTAAAATAACGAGTTATTGTGAGTATTATCGTATAGTTAAAATTAAAATTAAATTTTAAGTTTAATGCTCATTATTCTAGGTCGAATCTAGCACTCAAAAAAAATATTTATTTGTGCCTTCCGCTTTTGCGATGAAGTATACCTTAGATACAAATAAAGTGTCATGTATCACTCGAGTTTTTAGAATAATATTAATACAGTATTCTTAAAAATATAAAACTGTGTTTATTATAATATACTATTTTAAATAAATAATAGTAATAAATCATCGTATGCCATATGAGATAAATTACTAATAAATGTATGTTTATTATTTTAATAGTTTTTTGTATGACGTAGTTCAGTATAATTAGACAATAACGGTATAATGTTTTTGGTAACAAACTGTGTAGGCAATACAGACCTAAATGGCTAAGTTAACTACGAACTGTTAATAACTGACAGTAATCCTATTCACAAAATTCCGTGGAACATCGTTGTGCATGGATAGTTTGAATATTAGGGGTTGCACCCAAGATGAATCCTGACGATAAGACTTACTATAGAAATTGGAGAAGTGTGTGAAGAATTGTAACTTTTTCTTGGGAGCTGGGACTTCATGTAGGCCTTCGGTTTGTTGTGATTTAAGACCTCCAATCTGTAAGTAATATTGTGCCTTAAGAACTTAATATCTTTTCTTGAGAATTCGCATTTTAAAAACTTTAAAAGTCATCCAAGATTGGGAAAGCTTGCAAAGTATAATATGTAGTAACCTTTTAAAATGTCGAACAAATGTGGTTAAGAACTCATCTTCTGCATAAACTTGTTCCAGTAATATGGCTTCCAAATTTTGTCCAAAAGATGTAGTGTTAGAAATCAAAAATGTATAATCCAAATGGAAATACTCAAAATTGGTAAGTATGACCATTTAAAATGAAAACAATACAGTTTTGGAATATTTATTTATTTTTAAAATATAAAATATTTAATATTAAATTACTTAAGAATATATAAATATAAAAAAGAAAAGATTTATTATAATATGTGTAAATTCGAATAAATATGTTGAAGTATTTTCCATGTAGCTAAATATTACATTGATCCGGTTTGTTGTTCGAGTTGTGTGTTATCATTGATCATTATCAAGACAATTATAAATGTTCCAGTGGTAGCAGTGTCGCTATTAGGCTATTACACTTAACGTTATCGCAAACCTAATGATTATCAATGAAAAAAAAAATGCCATTAGTTTTTTATGGATCTCCAAAATTTAAACATTTTCCAAAATGGGCCTTACCATAAAAGTTTGGGAACCTCTGAGTCTATTGAATTTGTCTTTGAACCAAATTTCAGAACTACGAGTGAGAATGTCCTATAGACTTTGCTGTGGATCACTTATACTTACACACACACATACATTGGATTTTATAAATATAGATTATAATATTATAATAATTATTTGGTATTTTTTTATTAGTTATATATTTTACTTATTTGTGTAACGCAACCGTCACGGCAATACCACGCGTTACTAAAATTGTTTTCGAAATTTAATTTTTATCACTTTATAATTAAACCCATGTTCTGAATATTTTATGTTCTTTGGAATAAAGATATGATATCAATATTTCAGATTTTCGAAATTTCCAACACAACAAAAAAACTCTATTCTTTTTAGAGATGAAACTTTAACTAATCAATATATTTTGATCAAAAAACACCTAGTTACAAAACTCTGACAAAATTCATGATATAATTTTTGAGAAATAATTTACAGACACTCAAACGCAATTATAACTCAGTTAATGGTGTGGAATATCTATCATATTACTAGACATGTCGTCAATATAAGCTTGAAATTGTTTACCTACGTAAACACTATATGACTAGTGACTACGTAATACATTGAAATTAATATATTAATGCAAATGTATTTCGTATAGCGTATAATTATTAATTGCATACATGGTATGCACTTTATGCAGCTAAATATAGGTACGCAGAACGCAGGGCCTTAATCCCGGAAATAGCAAAGAGAAATACTTATACACTAGTAGATATAGAGTCTAAGAGTTTTTAACACACCCAAAGAATTAGGATGTTTAACGTTTGTTCATACTTAATGATTATGTATATTCCATTAAAATGTATAGTGTATTATTCATAAGATTGTGACTTCTATAAAGTACAACACTAAGCAAGTGCATAATTGCAACTAAAGCAGCTTGTTTATTCAATTCTTTCCAGACAGAAAAATATGTGTCTTAAATCACTTTCCTCCTCACTTCTGATAATTATCTCAGCAACTGTAATAGGAAGCACATCTAGGTACAATTTTTTTTTTAAACAAAATTTGTAAGAAATTATTTGGTAAATGGTGGTTCTTTATTAATTACAATAAAACCTACTTATAACGGACACCCTGTGAGATGAAAATCTCTGTATAGTGGAAAAATCAGTTGGTGCCCAGCAATTATGTTATAAGACAGTTTTACTGACATTTTGACTGATGCAAAATTTACAATGGAACGCAAACCTGTGTAATTATTGTTCATTAAACTATTTCGACATTTTTAATTTTTTTTAAAAAACAAACGTTAAATGTTTTTGAATCAATATAAACGATTCGTCAAAAGCATGTTTTGCGGTAAAAATTTTTTAACAGAAAATGTAACCTCTTAAACATTTGTATTTGTATTAAAATAATGTAAAATTAAAGATTTCCGTCCTTATGAACATCAATTTATATAAAAATTACCTATAATATAGTTTAAAATTGTTTTGATTGGGTCATTTATTTTTCGAATTTAAATATATCATAATGAAATCGACGTTTACATACGATTCAAAAATTTTAACTTTGAATCAATGTTTGGTATGCCAAATAGCACAAACTAATATCAATTTGGAATTTTTTCGAAAATTATTAACGTTTCACTAAATATTTTTTATGTAATTTAAAGTTATTACTCGTTTGTAATTACACAAAATAGTATTTTTGAAAAATTTGATACTTATTATCGTTATGGTTTTTAAGTTTTTACTTGTTTGATTGACAACATACTTTTTAATTTCTTATTCCAAAGCAGAATATATGTTTCTTAAAATTATAATGTATAAAAATCGAATTAGTTATAGTTATATACAATAGCATTTAATATTTTGATGAGTGCAGTAATGGACCACCGACCAACATATTTTAGGTATAATTACTTGTTCGATGTTCAATTTGAAAATAATTTTAAAAATCTTGGTATTTTTCGTAAAAAATTGAATTCTTACATTTTAAAGTATCCACTTGTAAGTATATACCACCGAAAAGTGTATACACAGAAGAAGGTAACGGATTAATGTGAAAAAAAGAAAAACCTATTATCGTTATGAAATTCTAAAACCAAAACAGTAATAAAATTATACCTAAGTAGTTATCGCTCGCGTACGTAATTACGTCCAGTGAGGGGTCGTAGGACATTATATTTCGCTGAGGGGAAACGAGGCAATTCGGCGTGGGCAGGCCAACTCTAAACACAGTCGGTGCCCAACATGCGTACGATATTCATACATAATATTATGTGTGTGCATAGACGACTACGTAATAATAATACGAACGGAATGAACGGAATAATTACAAGACAACAATGGCCCGTAAATGCGTTGCGTAAATGGCGACGAATTAATAATTATACAGCACGCGGAGTACACGCGTGATTCCGTGGGAGGCTAAATTATTATTACAATGGTATCGGTATAATATATATACGTAACAATAATAATATTGTCACCTACTACAAACCGTGTAGCGAATTTTTAAATATGACAAAAAATAAGTAAGTAATCGATGGCACCTTAACACTTAGGTGTATATATCCAGCTATAGCAGGTGATGTATACAGATTACAAGGTGATTCTTTCGGGTGATTCTTTTGGGTGATTCTTTTGGGTAATTCTTTTCTTGTAGTTTAACTAAATACACCATTATCGAAAAAGAGTATAATATTATACAATTCGTACCGGTTTCCAGCGTATTTTACATTTTTCAAAGGCAATTTTGTACACTCTTAAGTTCATACATTGCGGTGAAACAATATTATTTTCTGAGGAGTCCGGTATAAAATATAATTGAATATCCAACCTGAAGATGATTTAGTCGTATTAAATGCATTTACATTTTAGATGAGAGGAGTGGTCCCTGTAAAATATGTCGGGACACTACTCGAGTAGTAGCGAATTCA